AAGTAAATATTTAGCAGCGCCAAATACGAAACTATATTTACTGCCATTTATCAGCAGAAACTCGGGCAGCATTTCAATTTAAATATACTTAATTTCTTCAATTTCGTGCATATTTCGTCTGCACAGCCCCAGCAGACCTTCAATATTGCTGTTCGAGGCTCAAGGCTTTAGTATTCGAAAACTTTTTACCATTCCTCAAACTGGCACCATGCAAAGTTTTGCAGCGATGCCACAGGATAAGTTGTAATTTTTCGTCAATTATTCGTAGGAACCCCCCGCAGTGAAGCCGTGCAGTGGTGTATGTGTGTGAGAGTGCGAACATTTGCCTTGAAATATGCATGAATGCCTTTTCAATAAACTTCCAATATTAATTTCACATTTCAGACACGCAAACAATTGGTATTTGGCCAGTCAACTATGAGCTATGTGTGTGTGTATTTATGTAGTGCAAGTATTTATGCAGTTGAAAGTTGGCAAAGAAGTCGCAGGGTTAGTGGCAGCAGGAAAAATTAGGCAAAAGTTTCGAATGCCTCTTGCCTTTGAAAGTTTTATTTAAATGCTTATTTTTGTTTATTTATGTTTCTGCAAAATTTTGGGCACACGCCACCTAAAATGTACACAACAACTAGCTGTGGCGGCATAGATAGAGGAGCGACCAAAATTTATAGTTTGAAACTTTCTCTTTACTCGCCAGATGTTCCGGAGAGCCTGCAACAGAAAAAAAAAGCTTTTGCAATTTTATTTCATTTATTTCATATTTTCAGCAGCAATTTCGTTTACTATTTGAATATTGGTGGTTTTGTCAACTTTTTGATTTTAAGTTATTATGTTATCTGCCAATGAGACCAAATATTAATAAGGAAGGAGGATCTATAAGAAAGAGTCAAGCCAATAATATTTTATGGTGTACTCGTCTCGCGCGCGGCCCTCGAAAAGGCTACTTTTGCTAAGAAGCTTGAACGTGTCCAAAAAACGGCTCTCATCGACATCTGAGGTGCACTACAGACTACACCAACAATATCACTTAATGTCATTCTACACATAGCACCCGTGGCTATTGCCGGCAAGTTCATTGCAGCGAAAGTCACTCTAAGGCTCAGGGAAGGAGACTACCAGACTACTGTATGTAAAGTAGCATTAGACTTACTGCTCCAAAGTGCAGCTTCTTTCATGGAGGTGAGCATTCGATCCGACAGCAAAGCGGCAATGCTAGCGCAATCGGAACAAGTTGGACCCCGGTTGCCATTTTTCGTTCTAGCACTGAACCTATGGACCTCACGTCTGCTTAGCAGGCCTTGGTTGACAACCAGCCTTTGTGCGACTGCGAGATTCTTTTGACTTACGAAATCTACTGAACTACCTGCGCTTAGCAAAGTTAATCTTGCCGCAATCGTAGCAGTCAACGAAATTCCAACACAAAAATTATATCGAAATTTTCAGAAAATCAACTTTAAGACCACAAAAATAGCTCCACGCTTGTACGGTATGAAACTATTATCATTCTTTATTTAGCAAATAAACATTTGTGGGGGCACACTACTGTGTTACAGCGCATTTCCCTAGCGCATAATCATTATTAATAGCAACACTTATTAATTTATCGATAAAATTTCAATTAGGAACGTTAGCCATTCCGCTTTTATACTTTTTATGTTCGCTGATGGAAATTCAATTCGATTTTATCGCTTTTATGTAATTACACAGCATGGCATCAGTATAATTTAAAAAATAATGACTGACCATAGTATTTTTCAGTAATACAAAATGTAATTAAACAGTATGCTATAAAAAAAAAAAACAGTTTAGTACCGATAAAAATCGCCATGGGATTCTAGGTATATTTCCGAGAACACATTTTATCAACAAAATTATTATTGGCGATTAAAAACATGGCAATGGCAATCTCATTCAAATATAAACAGATTCTCAAATAAAAACATTTTAATGCTCATTGCTCTAATCAAATAATCATCTTCCTCATGTGAAATTCCAACTACTATAATCGGTGCTTTAATACATTCTCTTAAAAAGTTTTTTAGGATCGTTTCCATTCGGAAATAATGTAGTCATGCCCTATTAGGTTCTATATTTGAGCTTTGCTCTCTTTTCTAAATGTATAAGTTAAATTGACTATAAAGTTATCAGACGGATTCGCCAGTAGCTTGTTCGATTGAATACCTTGCAAAATCTGGCGAATCGTAGACTGTTTATGATAAAAGTGTATAGTTTTTACAACATGTTTTAATATATTTAGGAACGATACTTACTGTTCTACAAAATAGTCAGAACATGAGAACTGAACTATTAAAGGAGTGCACTTAAATGTGTCAGAATATTTTTCCAAAAATTTGGAAAAGACAACAGCTCAGTTTTAATTAGTACGCCTCCCTGCACGCTGGACACAGCTGGTAAGCTTCGTGAAAGATTGCTGAAACCACAAATACAAGCAATTACTAAGGCAGGCGTTTTGTCACCCGACTATAATAGACAGGTTACACTCTAGGCTTACCTACACAAATCCAACACGCTGCCGAAAAGGCCTCTAAAATAACCTTCCAACATATCCACGGAGCAGAGCAATGAGCAGAGAGTATTGAGGAGAAATAACCGACGTAAAATCTTATAAAAAGTATATCGCGCTGCTGCTCTAAGGGTAGTATCGTTATACCGTACAGTTTCAGAAGAAGCTGTATCGGTAACAAGCGAAAGCGCGCCAATCGACTTATTAGAATTTGAAAGAAAGTAAATGAGGACGTTACAGAAGGAATACCATCATAAAGAGAAAGTAAAGAATAACACTTCACAACAAATGCAAACACGTTGGGAGCAGGGACGTCTGAATGTTATCTGGACACGGATATTTTAAAAAATATCTCTACGAGTATAAAATGAGAAAAGCCAAATAGCCGATGCGATCAAGGATGGCAAACAGAGCGAAATACGCTGCTCACTTTGGTAGCCCCCCCTGAATGTGGGCAACGTTATGACTGTCCTGCTTCAAAACGAGGAATACTGAACTTGCAAGTGACACATACTTTTGCTGAGTGCCGCCAATTATGATACGTAAGGCATTTTTTCCATTCTCCCCAAAAAAATTTACAATGGAATTATTATATATATATTTATTGGATGTTTGATCTGTATACCGTAAAGTGAAAGAGTCATAAGGAATTTAAAAGTAGTTTAAAAGATATGTCCATTTCATAGTTTTGTATCTTAATTTAGTGTTTAGTTATAACACTTTATAGGATTTTGTTTAATGACATTTTGTGAGGGTGGCAGTTCTTTGTCTATATATCTCGATTATTTTTAGGTGATACAAACAACCGTTAGGTGAACAAAACTATTATACTCTGTAGCAACATGTTGCAAGAGTATAAAAAGCGAAATCAAGGGATTAAATATATAAAACCACATTGCTCTGCGTATTTCATTCACCATTTGTGGCTCACAATTCACACCCTCACGCTCACAATTGTTATCACCGTTGTTGTTGTCTCTTTAAAACCGCACTGCGTGCTGTTGTGTTAATCCCCAGAGTTTACACCGAAATAGCGAAAATTCCAAAACCTTAATTTCTTATGTGATGCAACAAAGAAAGAAGGGAGGGAAAAAATCGCAATTCAACTTCATTTGACACAATGAACCAAGTAAATAACGGTTACTTAGTTAGATGTGATATTAAATAAGCATATATGTACATATTATATAAGCATTTCCACCTAACTGATTATGCCCGTATTTGAGTATAAAAACAAATAGTGTGTATCTATGGGAATTTAATTCGTTGATAGCTTGTATTATGTTTAATATACTCGTAAAGCTGTCACAAATCGTATATTATAAAATAGTGCCATTAACTTTTTATCTTCATACTTATTATAGAGAAACCATTTTAGATACATATTTTATTGCAATCAGATCTTAAATTCTTAATCGGTTTTGGGTCCATTCGAATACTGATTTGACTTTTTGTCTTAGAGCATTTCAAGTGGTAATATAGGTTGAATCTACCTACGCTCACTAATCATAGGGAAAGGGGTTGGCATACTATTGTTAACAAAATTCCTGAATGGGTCAGTTTGTAATTCATTTGCCTTGACTAAAGTTAGTTCATCATTTAAGTTGCATATTAAGTTATACTTATGTAAATCATGTAAACTCAATTTTGAACTAAACGAACCATTTTTACGCATATATTAAGATTTATCATAAAAATATACCTTATTTTTTTAATAAGTAACTTTTTCAAAAAAATCTCTTACAACATAGTTATAATTCTCATATTATATGTATATTAATTTCTAGCCTCTTAGTAATTATTCCGTTTTTCGAAGTTGGTCTCCATAATCGAATTATTTGACTTTGTATTTCGAAATTACGCATATTAAAGTCATCAAAATTAAAATACTAAGTAAGTTATTAAAAATCTTATCCACTTTTTCATGTGTATAACATTTTTTGTTCAAGCTTATATGACAGTTGCTTTAAGAGGTTAAAATTAGATCTTCAAAAAATATAGGAAATTTTATATTTGAAAAATACTCTTCCAGAATAATTAAAAATGTCTTACATTTATTTAACGAACTATCAAATTTGAGCCGAACTACTTGTTTACGACGCAAAAAAAAATTTGGCGATTTTTATTTTGGGATTCCAATTGTGTTGCAACAGAGTTTTGGTGAGTCTAATGGATTACATTTGGCATATTTGCATTGGCTCAGGAGTCTATTTTGAAGACGATAGTAAAGATTTGTATTAAAAACGTGAAAATGTAATTTTTTTTTGTCTTCAGTCGGAATTAAGTTCGATCATATGACAATTCCAAAACTGACGGTCAGCTCTCAACATAGCATCGCAAGATTTCTCTTATAACAGCACAAATTCCTACAGGGTGCTCATAATAAATATAGTCAACCTTACAAAATCATTACGGCGCTGGAGACAAAAAGTCCTCACACATTAGTTATTGTCTAATTTCCCCCTCTTTTTCTACTCACCAGCAAATGATTTTTCCTTGGATTTTTTGTGATGTGATTAGCTTCTACTGATGTTTACTCATGCACAACGTTGAATTCCTTTGTTCCATACAAAATATATGGCTTCCCTAGGCTACAGTTGTATTCCTTAATTTGTTATTGTTGTTGTTAAACTGCTAACAGCATTTCATTTGCCATTTGATTTAACGTTTTTATTTTTCGCCTTTTAGTTCTATTATTAAATAGATTTTCAGGTCAGTGACGATGCTGTCGGACCCATTTATTAGTTGTTGCACGTGTTGTTGTAGCATTCATGTATGTGTGTATGTAATGCACGTTGGTGTACGATTGCTGCTGATGATGGTGGGACAAAATCTAAATTGCCATCATCAAGCCTAATAATAACAGCAACAACAATATTCGACACCAAATGATAGTGTTGACAACTGTGATGTTCGACACCGTTAATATGCGAACGTTGTAAGTCAACTACAACTGTTGTTGCTGCCGGCGTTTATCCACCAAGAAGCGTCTAGGGGCAATTAGTGTTGTTGATTAGTTGTTGCTAGGGCTGGGTTTGTTTGTTTTCACAATTTCTGCTCGTTAATTCGTTTCGTTTGGTTTGTCGTTGCTGTTTTTAGATTATTTCTATTATTTACTAAAAGGTTTGTATGCACTTTTTGAGGTTATACTCTACGGTGACGAAAACCTACTAATTAATAGTTTCAAACTTTTGTGTATTATATACTTGTTTCGCGTGTGTTGTTGTTGTAATAATTTGTGTATATTTGTGATTGCGATATTTTTGGTTTTTGTGTGTTTTAATATTTAAGAATAATTTGTGGCTTAGCAGTAGAGTTACACTTTGGACACTTTTATAGCTTTGTATTAAATGTATTGCTCTTTTTAGAATCGTTTAATATCTTCAGTTAACCCGAAATAGATGCGAAATGATTTTGCTGAATTCCCCAATAGATATGCTCAGGTTATAATTAAATTTTATCTAAATGTATATTTTTGGAATGTTTTTTTTTTAATTTCTTGAATTTTTTGTGTATATATATATAGTTCGTAGTGCTTATTTTTGAACTTTATTAAATGCTTCTTAATTAATTTTTACTTTTTCTAATCAGTTTTAGCCAGTTTTTCTTTAGTTTCGCTGTATGAGTGTAAATAATTTTAAATTGTCATTAACTTTATTTTAATTTAATTTGAGACTAAGGTGGTATAATTCTTAATTTTGGTTTAATTAATTATGTTAAAATTTTAATTAATTATTCTTTTTTAACTAATTTTCAAATAAAATTATTAACAAATTTTCAGTACTATTTTTAAAAATTTATTAATGATTTTTAATTTTAAATAATTTTTTTAGTTTTCAATTATAATTAATTTTTAATTAATTTTTAAATAAAATTATTATTAAACTTTCCGTGAATTTTTTTACAAATTTAATGTTTAATTTTTTAAATTTTTGTTTCAAAATCAAAAATCTATTTTCTATCTAAATATATATTTAATTTATTAGTTAAGCAAATATTTATACAATTTTCAAAAAAAAAATAATAATAACTTTTGTATGAAATATATTTTTTGTTGTCGTATACCTTCGCTATGTCTCATTTATTAGTTTTCTTAAAAGTGTACTAAAAATTACCAACCTTTTAGATTAGAAACACTAATAATATTTCAAAATTTCAAAAATATTTTTTTATTTACTCTTTTGTTTTTATTAATGTTTATTTATTATTTATAATATTCAATTTATTTCCTGTGCAATTTTTATTAATTATTATATTACAATTGATTTAATTTATTGTTCTGTTTTTATTGAAGCTTATTTATTATCTAAATTTAATTACTATCTATCAATTAATGTTTATTTTTATTTATCTTCTTTAATTGTTTTGATGAAAATTAAACTACACTTTTTTATAATTCTCACTCAAATTATATTTTATATTTTATATTTTCTTTTTAAACACCCTTGTCATATATTTTATTTTTATATATGTATATATTTTTAATTTTAAATATATTTTTAATTTTCAATAATTTTTGGATTTTTTTTTCTTGTTTTCATGGAATTTTTTGTCTAATAATTTAAATAATATTTTGCTATTATATATTTTCTAGAACAATTTATTTTTTAATTTGTTATTTTTTTTTTAATTCATGTTGTTTATTTTATTATTCCATATATTATTTTTTTTACTAAAAATTTTCACTAATTTGTTTGAACGCTGGCTTTATTTAGTATTTGCGTATATCTTTTTAGATAATTTTAATTGTTTTTAAATAACATGAATTTTAGTATTTTTTATATTTATTAATTCATAATTCACTGAAAAACTAAACTTTGAAATTTTTTGTTGCGAATATGCATTTAAGTTTAAAAATATATTATTCTTGCATTTACTTTTTGTCATTTCTATGTTTTACTTTTTTGATACTGTTTTTGGTTTTTTTTTAAGTTTGGCGCATTAGTTTTGAAATTTCGGCTTGCCAAGTTTGTCAACAATTTTTACTTTTTTATATTATATGCTTTTGTTGCAATATTTTACACCATTTTCTTAACTCTTACGATGTTATTAAATATTCCCACTTTTATATATATTTTTTACAAAATTTTTGTAATAATTTGAACCTCTTTATATGTTTATTATACTTACATTTTGCTTAACACTGTTTGTTAATATAATGTATTTTCAACCACAATTTTTATATAATGTGTAATGAGTTGTTGTTAGGCCTTTATTAGAAATATTTTTCCTATTTCTTTATTTGTTTTCACTTGAAATGCTTTTTGGCAATATTTTTTTTTTTTTGAATTCAGAACAAATTAGCTTCTAATAACTACCACGTGATATTTTCTGGTTTAATTCAATTAAATTTGCTAATAAAAACTTTTCAGCTATTTCACTTCCTTTTTTAACCTTTTCAATTATTATTTTACAGCTTTTAATTTATATGTTTATTAATATCTATGTACTATGATATTTTTATCTTAACATTTATGAATACATTTGAAAGATATGTTTAAATTACATTTATTTTTTCACTTATCTATTTATTTATGTTTTTCCAATATTTTTTTTAAACAATTTTAAACAATTTTTCCATAAACGCTGCTGTGGCGGCTGCACCTGCAAATGAATTGAAACTGTTTATGAAATACCGTTATTCTCTATATCGGACACTTGCTCATTCAATTTTATATTTGTGGCTGCACATTGCCACAAATCAAATAGAATTGTATCTCGCACATAAATTTTAGCATTTTATTTGATTTTTTTTTTTTGGTTTAAGTAAAACGAACACAAATAAATTTTTTACGGGAAATCAGCTGATTTATAGCGAATTTTTTTTCGCACGCTTACACTGCACCGCATGCGGGCGAACTTATTTTATTTATTTGATTTCTGTCAGTTTTAGTCACGTTTCGACACGCACATGACCGTAATGCGCATGCAACTGTATATGTGTGCTGGTCTTAACGTTTAGGCCACAACTATGCTTCGTATCAGCAAATCGTTGTGGCTCTAATGCGCTCTCCCGCACTCTGCCACGAATATTACGGCCGAGTCCTTTAGAGCAACAACAGTCCCACCTAGCTTGTCGGCAAACGCAAACACACGCACACATCCACCCCTGCACAAGAGCATCGTGTGTCGGTGGAGGTTCGACCGGCAGCGACAGCATCGACGTGCAATCGGAGCCACAGCCTCCACACTCAGGTACTAGCAGTCATACACACACACATATATATATGTATACTTATAAAATCGAAACCTTAGAAAAAGGATATACTTATCCATTTGCAGTTTTACTGCTTTTTGCCATTTCTTCCATCTCACACATTTCATTCTTACTATTTTTTCACTTTACCAACACGCTAGTTATTTTATTCTTCGGTCTATCTTTCGTTGCAATTCCTAAATGCTTTCGCCGTTCTCTATTTTGCTTCCCAAAATCCATTCTCTGTTATTGAATAGTCAGCGAATCGTTTGCTTTAGCAATTTAACTGAGCTGGACTATCGGCTTTGACTGCGTGTCGGCGCATCCTCGAATATGCACCAGTTATATGCCACATATGTATACGAGGTGTGTTCAAAGCAAAAGGTGAATTGCGATTTTTCGCGGGCTATGTACATTCGATTATCGATATTTTGTTTTTGTTATAATCGTACACATATGTTTATCATGTGCTTGTATTAGGTTTTGACAACAGAAAAGGTAAGTCAAGTTTTTGTGTGCTCTTCGATTTTTGACTTTTGAAAGAAATGGATCTAAGAATATATATTAGATTTAAAAATTAAATAAAGTGCTCCAAGGCACTTGAAATGTTGACTATGGCATTTGGTGAGTTCCCTTTGTTTCAAAAAAGTGTTTAAAAGTGGTACAAGCGCTTTACAGAAGGCCGAGAAGATGTTGATGACGATGAGCATCTGGTGCGACCACGTCAACATCCGAAGGAAACATCGAAACAGTGAAAAAAATTGTTCTTGAAAATCATCGAGTCACGATTTGGGAGGTTGCAGAGGATGTTGGCATATCAATTGGCTCATGCCATTCAATTATCTCGAATATGTTGGGCATGAAACGTGTACGTTTGTTCCGAAATTGCTAAATAACGCATTAGTATCTCTCAGGAGGTCAAAACCAAAACCGTTATCATGCCTCCACCACCGTATTCACCAGATTTGGCTCCCTGCGATTTTTTTCTATTCCCAAAACTGAAGAAACCAATAAAAATAAAACATTTTGCCACAGTTGATGAGATCAAGTCAAAATCGAAGAATGAGCTGATGATTCGAGGATTGTAAAAAGCGTTGGCACAAGTGTATTATATCTGAAGGGGATTTATTTCAAAGGGACAAAATAGATGAATAAATAAGTACTTTTTAAAAAAATTCAAAATTCACCTTTTCCTTTGAACACAACTCGTATATGTATGCATGCACATTGCAAAGTTTGTGTGCATGTTTGTGAAATGACATTGGCATAGAGCAAAAGACAAAACGGTCGCCTGCAAGGGCACTGATGACGCGTAAGCTTTACTGCCATGAATGTAAGAAGCCGCCATTGTACTGGTATCTACTGGATATTAAGCTGGTAATACAACCGCAGCGGACTATGTACATATGTATTTGTGTTTATGTAAGCCATACAATAATAACAAATTCTCTTATTCCTTCCAAATAACTTTGAAGTAATTTAAGTATTTATTTCATTGAAGTTTCCACTAAGTACTAAGTTCTTAAATACCATTAAATTTGTTCAGCTATTAATATATTATTTGTGGTATATATATATATATATATATATAATGTATGCATGAGGGTGACCAAATAAGAACTCAGCATCACCCACGTGACCGCGTGTTGAAGAGGTCAAGTTAGCTGATTTTTAAAAAATGGAAATATAACAATGTCAGTCGGTGGTTCGTTTTTTGGAATATAAAACGTGTAATGAAATCAAAGTGCCCTTGAATGCTCTATACAGTCAAAAATGAGGTTAACGAGTTTCAAAGTGGTCGCACGCCGGTGATGAGCCACGCTGGGTTTCCGCCAAATAGCTACCAAGGAAGAAAACGTGACAAAAGTCTGCTGTCTCGTATTTACCACTAAAGACACACGAGATAGTTGAGGTAAAAAATCTCCATTGTGGTTGAACTCTTGATAAAAGCAAGTACGTTTCGATCATATTCGAGCAATCACAGCCAGCTTCCCAGATTTAAAAATGATAGAACAAGTACAACTAATTTGCATAAATATCATAAATTAATTCAATAATTTGATCAAGTTTATCTCTTAAATAATTATTTTGTATTCAGTAAGTGAAAATGCAAAATATATGGGGGCGTACTCATACAATTTGATCCATTTGAAGCACATGGATACATGGTTATTAGAAAGAGATGCTCTCTGAATTTATTATATTTTATATATTGACCGATAAATTCGGTATAAGGACAACCGGAAGTTCGGATATATTTATATTTGGTACATGGGGATATGTTGTTAACAATAAAAGATTCTCATTGAGCTTCACTGACCTTCAAGCGGGCGCGATCATTTGTAACGGCAGAGCAACAAAACGCTAATTAATCCATATCTTTTATTTTTTATAATCAGGAACATTATGCATTGTCTATCATGTCATGAGTTCAAATAATTAAAATAATCATCATTTTAGATATAGTTTTCTTAAAATTCAGTACCTTTGCCAAGATTAAATTCATTACAAATGAAGGTAATGTGGCTTCTACAAATTGTGCTCCGTGCAGTAGGTAAGGCACGAAGAGTGAGGCTAAACTGTTTATCTGGTAGGTAGTAAATCCAAGGCAGGCTACTTATGGCATGTTATGCATGCGAGGAAAATTATTTTTATTATCAGCGAAAATTTATTGAATGCGGTCGAATCGACGTCGCGCGACTGCTTGAAGGTTAAGCTAATTCACATATTGACTGTTACAGGTATTTACATACATGATACAAAGTCAACCGGAACTTTGAAAATCCTTATATTAAGTATATGGGTGCTATGGGAACCAATGACCCGATTTTAATAACTTTTGACATCAGGGCACATTATTACGAAAAAAATACGTTCTTTAAGATGCATTGATTATCTTAGAGATTGACCGCCATTTTTGGTAAAAAGTCGGCCATATGCAATCAGGTCCATATAATCGGTATCTAGTGGCTTCATAAGTTATTCTCAAATGTCAACCGAAACGTTAAATGCCATATCGTAAGGCCACTACTAATTAAATTAATTATTAAACTTTTCTCCCGATAACTTCATTGATGTTTTATTTATATACTGTAAAATGAAGGAAATAGATGAAATTTAAAATTTTATTAGGCATGGTTGCATCCCGGTTTAGCCCATTTCCACACTGTAATATACCAATGTCAAAATAATGTTATCCACTAAATTGGGTGGAAGGTGAGAGTGGACGGTGCCATGCTCATTGTTCAATTTTTATTTCGGCTTCTACCCTTCCCTACCATCTTATTTGTGAAATTTATTGCTTCCGGCACCCACAGCTGCTCCTCACTTCACCAGTTCTCTGTATCAAGTTGCACTTTAATATCTTAAGTTCGAGCTTAGTTATAACACTATATATACTTGTAAGGAATCTTTTGTTGTTGTAGCGGCAGAATTCTGCCGAGTTGACAGTCCTTGGCCGGAAAGAATCCGGGTCCATTCCGGTTACGTAGATCCGACTGTTATGGGAAGGGAGAAATATTTTGTATTTGTGATGGATATTATAGCTTTGGTGCGGGTTTTATTGTTTAATTAAAAAAAATAACCTAAAAATATAAGCAGACTGCTCATTTTGGTGATATGTTTACATTACAAATGAAAGATAGAGGACAATTACTGCTACCAACTATAGTCTATATGGTTGTTTTTAAAATCCATTGACTTTTATTTGCGACTTATCCTATCCTCAATGTAATTTTGCACACACGCACATTTCTATTTTATTCAACGAAGCTCGAAGCTCAGACACATTAAAATCGTCTGCCTAAATCCACTAAGTATTTTATTAAGAGCACACTCACACAGACAAACAATCGTAAGGTCAATTCAACTTGTTGACACATGCAAATTAGTTGACAGCGAAATTTAAACACTTCAAAAATACATAAATTTCAGAGCTTAATAAGAACCCTCCAAGCCACTTTACCCCGCAACGAACAGAACAAATATTCCGTATCGAAGTTCGGGAAAATTTGAAGGCTTTCCAGTGAAAATGCTCTGCATTCATTTCAGCCGAGGCATATTTATAGGCGCTGCAAAAGCGTTTTGACGAATGTCAGCGAAATAGTCGAGCAGTCAGTCAGCGTACGAATGGCAAGTGCTACGCAAAATGCCAGAGTCAACGAAAATAACAACAAAATGTGAAAAACGCTTGGTGCTAAACACATATACTTGCACACACACACACACACATACAGTAGACACCACCATGTGCGCGTTTGGATGTGTAGATGGCAAGTAAGCTGGCAGTGACAATGCTATAGTAGACAGCAACACCAATAACAACAACACGGAAAGTCTGAACGTTGTCAACCGCAGCAACGACGAAGATTGTGTTGACAAGTGGCAAAAACAATTGAAAACGTTTTCTGTGTGCCAACGCTTGCAATCTGCTCTGTTGCGCTTTTTCGCCTTGTTTTTTTTTCGTTTTACCCGTTACACATTTTTCCGAACGCCTACTGTAGTGTGTATGTGTGGGTGTATATGCAGTTATGTGTAGTTTTGTGCTTTTCGTGCTGTTTTTAAGCTTAACTGTATTTCTGTTTTCCATTTCGGTTTGTTTATTTCTCTTTTCTGTTGTTGTTTCTTCTTTTGCGATTTGTCATCGTAAGGGTCTTCATGCTCTGCTGCCTTGTGCTTAGTTGCAGTCAGTAAAACGAGTCAAATTAGGGTAATTAATGCGCATTCGTGGTTCGGGATTTTTGCAGTTGTTGTAGTTGTCGATTCAAGTGCGTGTTTTTGTTATGTTTCATCGTTGTTTTTAAGCTTGTTTTGCGTTGCGTTCATTTTTCGTTGCATGGCTGGTATTTTTAATGGTCTATTTGAAAGATTAACTACAAATCGATTCGTTTCAAATCGATTTACTTAAATCGGCATTCAATTTCAATGCTAAATTTGAAACAGTTGAATCTATGTCGTAAACAAACTATCAGAATCTAAGTATATATGTTTGTGTTACTTCTGGCTGTCTTCAATTACCCGGCCCGTAAAAAATATCTAATCGAACAACAACTGGTATAAATCTCATAAACTGGTATAATCAATCCACTTTTTATTGAGATCAAATAGTTATATACGTACTGAATTTAAAGTTTTTTACAAATTTTACTCGGAATGGTCAATTTGCACATCGCAGTATTGCAAAAGTGCTGTAGGAAATCTACTTTTCGATAATGTTAGTATTTAATTGTCATTAGATGATTTTACTTTAAATTAAAAATCTAAAACAATTTTTTCTAGACTCATATGGATGATGAAAGAACCCTTGAAATTAAATTTTATCAACTTTTTTCTACATGTTTTGTATATAGTTCTCTATACAATGCCCTAACAGTTTTTTGATGAAAATTCAATTTTTTATTAACGCTGCCATTTTATTTTTCATTCCCCAAAAATCGCATTATTTTTAGGCTGTCAAAATATAAAATACAACTGCAAAATGGCCGGCTGTCATGCCATACATAGACCTACATAGGTTCAGTTTAATTTGAACTGAAGTATTCGTCATGCTAGACGTCAACGCTTTTTGCCAACTTTAAGAGCGACTTGATATCTAATTTTGATACTTTGTTTCAGCGTGCCTCTTATAACCACTTCCCTGCACTTTCTGCATGCATCCTTGTTACTTATACTCATCCGTCTCGCATATGATGCCAGTAGGTTGTGACCTGTCATTAGACCAACAACCGTCGCGCAGTCCTTTCGAGAGATGCCATCTCGCCCTAATCCGTCTGGCCTTGACCATTTTGGATCCGTCTCTATAGATGTTGTAATTTCCGCTAGCGCGTCGATTGCTCCTGTGCCATCCACCATGTTTTAGTGTGACTTGAAACCTTTATTGCCAAATAAAGCAAGACGGCATAAGGTGGTCTATTTTATCCACCAACCCCCTGGTTATTAAGCTGTACCCGAAGGTCCTTGTGAAAATTCACCTTTCTCCTAAAACTAAAATTTATTCATTTTTTTATTATATTTTATCTTTCGAAAACGTATATCAGTGCCAAAATTCTATGCATACATAGACTTTTTCAACTAATAATTTATTATATTTATTTAAATCATTTTATTATATATACTTTTAATAAACCTTTTTAATGGAAGTAACGTCATTTCTGCTTTAGAAACTTTACTTATAAAATTATATATATATTATTCAAATAAAAGTATTTACTTCTAAAAGTTTTGTCCCACATAAAGTCACACTACCAACCACTCCACGTACTCGTATACATTCGATAATAACCACAAAACTTCCCAAAACAGAATACTTTCAAGAAATTCCACTTCACATATCCTTCTCGGTCATAAAACTGCCAAAAAAAACAAGGAAATTGCTAAATTCCAAAACGTGCAGCAAAATAGCAAGCAAAAGCTGTTGAAAATATAGTTGACCTGCATTTGTACTCCCACATATCACCAACAACTTGAACGAAAAGTTAAATGCACGACAGTGTTTAAAAGTCACCAAAGTAGGCAGCGAGTGAATACTGATATTACTTATACGCCCCGGCTTACAACAAGAGTACGGACGAAGTGCATTTTCAAGTAAATTGTTACAGATATTGGAGCACCGAAAAATTATAATATGTGCTTCAATTGCAAATCGGACAGCTTAACAAGCAAACTACTGGAGAGGCACTCATACACACACATGCAGAGGTTGGCAGTTGAGGGAGGGTTCCAAATGCCACAGCTACCGGAAAATTTCAGCAATTTCACACCTACAAAACAAATAAACACAATCTTATGCAAACATAGAAGCCTAAATTCACCAGCGTTTTCGTGTTTGTTTTCTTTTTGATATTTTTACAAATTTTATTTTGACTTCCACCAGCACACTTGCAAGCTCGATAATGGCGCTGATAGTTTTATGGCTGGCGATAATCAACAATAAGTGCAGACAGAGCTTCCAGTGCTTACTAACATGCATACAAATTTACAAATATACTTACAGACAGCCATATATACATTTATTCATGCATCCACCCATACATATATGTGTACATACATATATGCTTCCACATATGTAAGTAGTTAATGCTGCCAGTTTATTTAGCTAAAAACATATGTGTGTGTGTGTATGTGGAGACGAGCGTGTCTACTTGCCAGCTCGTGAAGGCTGTTGCTAATTTTTTGCCATTGCTTGTTGTTGTTCTAACAATGTCTGTATGTTAGCGCGTCGTCTTTGCTGCAGTTTTCGCGCAGCCTCAAGGCATTTCTTGTTGCTTACTTTTTAACACACACTACACGGTTTCGAAAATAAGCAAAAAACAGCAATTATTTCTAATAACAAAATTACTCTACTAAATTTTTCACAAAATGCAATTTAACTGAAAACTGGTGTTTAAAACTGCTTTCAACCGAATATTTTTTAACTATTTTTTGAAAAATTTATAAAAATATATACACTCCACAAAATTATTGCACTTAATTTCACAACTTTTAAAAATTTTCCACCTAAAAACACATTTTATCACATTATTCACTTTTACTTCGAGATTTTAATTTCAATTTTTTTTCTTAATTTTCTAAAATTTGCTAGTTTTTGTTACCACATATAGCGTCGCTCGAAATGAATTTCGTATTTTTAAGACAACCACACTCGTTTGTAGCGAGAAACACTCTGACGCTGGGCCAACTCGCCAGCTGCCTGGCTACTTGGCAGCGCGCTTGTTTATTTAGCTCGCTAGTTGCATGTCTGTGTGCAAAACTTCGCCTTTATCTGTTGTTGCTGGCATTGCTGTTGCTGCTTTGTTGCTGCTGCTGCGGCATTGCTAACACAGCTGACTACCGCACAACATGAAGCCCCACACTGGTGACCGGTCTCTTCGTTTGCAGCAGTGACAATAGTGGCAGCAACTGCAGGTGATTTCCCTCCCTGTGTGCTGTTTACCCGGCAAAGCAGCATTCAGGCTATAAAAGCTTGCAATTTCGTGTAGAAACGAGTAAATTGTTGTTGCTGCTATTGCTACATAATAACATTAAGTGAGATGTTACAGTAGCTCGTTGCTCATCGTTGCGTGTTTTCATTCTCTGCTATTTGGTTGAAAGCGCAAAATCGAGAGCGCACTGTGTAGATTTGGCAAGCGGAGAAGCTAGCCGAATAGCATCGAGTACAGCATCGTTGTTGGAATTTCTGTAACGGGGTTTCTGTGTATCAATACTATTGCAATAATTTTTTTAGTAATTCATGAATTTACATTACTCGGTGTCGGTGTTTTATTTCTACAAAATAAATTTTTTGAAGTTAAGCTACGGGGCTTTTCAAAAAATATATTAGAAAAATAGAGTATTTTCCAATAATCAGCAGCTTACTTCAGTTCTTATGTTTTACCAAAACGAATACTCCATTGACTAATATTTATAGACTTTTTCAAGGAAACAAAAACCGTTGATGATCATGTATTTATATGAATTTTATTTCCTCCAAAAATATATCGAGAATTCGTACAAATAAAACGGTCGTAGATCAGATTGCGCTCTCGTAGATCTGTTTAATATCTGCAAGTATATTTTATTAGAATAATTTGGTGTTTTGTCTTGATATTTTCCGGCAAATGTAGGGTCTTCTCTGGACAGAATATACGCGCAGGGCAGATATAGGCGCAAAAGAAAGAGCACTGTTAGAAAATCTTCGTAATGAATTTCTATTTATTTCGACATGCTGAATGACTTCTTAGTTATATGGTTGGCCTTATATACCATCCGATTTGATTTTTCACCTTCAAATAGGTTTCTGAGCCAATACAAGCATACCAGCATGTAATACAACTTCGATACACTAGATATAAGTCTCGGCTGGAGTGGCCTTCAGTGTCTTCAGCGTTTATTGTTTTTTCGGTATCGGCTAATTTTTGGAGCGCCATTCGCTAGATTATTGGACAATTTCAACGTCATATTCATATACCTATATCTCGTCCCCGCTAGTGATGTGTAGCAGGAATGTCCGCGAACCTTTACTCGATGCCGTTTTGCAAAAAATGTAGGTCTTTTGGTACAAGTCAAGCATTGACACGCTACATACCCAAAAAATTAACCAAAATGTGTAGAGACGATCCATAAAAAATGTTGAGATCCTCTACTGACTTTTTCAATGTTATCGACATTAACAGAGGTGGATGAAGGACACTGCAAACTTTATACCCCTCACCTACTTGTGTTGCTGATAAAGTATACTCCTTAACCCACTTCTAAAACATTTTCAATGATTCGTAGCCATGATATCTTTGGAAACACAAAAACAAGCAAACGCATTCTTCAATTTTATTAAAAAAAAAAAAAACAGAAAGCTACCAAACGCACACCAAGTGACATAAAGTAATCAAACTTCACACAACCATAAATAAAAATGTAGTACGAATATAGGTAAAACATTTATATCGATTCGGTTTTCGCCGGAAGTTTACGGACCAGACCGGTTCATAAAGTGTATTTTTTACTTCGGACGAAAAATTACATAAATAAATGTACTATAACACGAATCACGAGACCGGGAAGAAGCCACAAAAACTTGGACAGGAATCCAATGATATCTCTGAGGTGAAATGATAACGAAAAAGGAAGTGAAAAGAGGAATCTTCCTTTACTTAATGGGGTTTCAGGATGCATTCGCTAATGAATTCCAAGTCGTATATGCAAAAAATATATTGTTATTCTGCTTGTAAACTATGTTATTTTTCTTTGAACAATTTTATCTTTCTTTGAGAATATTAACGTATAGTTCTGGTACTGTACAATTACGAAGACTCGACTATCGCAGTGTCATACCCCTCGACCAAGTGATCGAAATCTACAGACTGTGAGAAGTTCGCACAGATAAATTTAAATTTGAGGAGATATCCAATCTAAATATCTTATTTTCAAAAGAATACATGGAATACTTCCATAAAAAATCAACACTGAAATAGACTTCGGGAAATTGACATCGCTGTAAGACTTCGCCATCTCTCAGTATAATGAAATATTCTCACTATGCTCTCATTTGCTGAGCGCAAAAACTTGACATGTTGCGCTACCCGAAAAATGCAAAAAATGCAGCATCGCAAGCGCGTCTCCTGCTCGTCGTGTAAGTGAATTGCATCTAAGTACCAGATAAGAAAGTTTGAATGATGAAAATTGAAGTTACAATGAATTGCAAAAACTACAGCCACACTCTCGCACTAGTTTAATGGGGACATTTGGCATTTAAGTGCAGTTTTAATAGCATGCAATAAGCACTGCTGCATTTAATGATACTATCACGAGAGCAGAATCATGTGTGGCCTAATAAAACGGGATTTTGGCTTTAGCCAGCAAATCCTTAAAGCAAAGGCGCTTAAGCAAATTCTACTTGTCAATTAATACATATGTATGTTTGTATGTAATCTCTCACATCCTTTCAGGGCAGTGCTTATCCGTGTTTTAGTCAATGCGAGTAACTTGTCGTAAGTGCTTGTCGTAAACACGTGATTTGCATTATATGCGGACTTGCAACAAACACATAGTCTTGCCTCCTCGCGCTGATACACATACATATATATGCATATGCACCGCCTTCACTTTGTCAGCTTTGAACGGTGGACTTCGCATGATGCCCACTCCCCAGTTCATATCCACTTATGTGCATTCTCATCACTTATCCACTGCATATCGTGCAGCAAACCGCCAATCAACCCATCAATCTCACATAACATTCACACTCTGCGAGTGCACCTTAAGTATAGTGTGCCCAAACGTTTTTTGTTGTTGGTCCCACATTAACTAACTGCTATTTATTCGTTACTTTGCCTCGACAGCCATTTAATGGCAGTCTTTTCACACTCTTCATTACACACGGGCACGTGATGGTGAGTTTTGTTGTATTGACCAAGTTCTTTTAGCATTCTCTCTAACCTTCGTACAGTATAAAGCAAGCTTCTAAAACGAAATCAATCAATTTAATTTGCGAAATCACAGGTGATTCAAGAATATGCTTGAAATTTTTAACGAAACAATTAGTATTATGTTAAATTAAAATATGAAATAAATGAATTCGTATTAAAATTAGTTTACTAGAAAGTAAAAAACTACTAAGAGGACGGTACATTTCATGTAATTGTCTAACTAAAACATTGAATGAATTTAACCGTAGGGATAAATCAACAGAATTGCTTGTGAATCGGTTCAAAAATAGGTAAATGGGTGTGACACAACCCACTAAGCCGAATTCGCACCTAATAGTCTCTTGACATCCTTATGTAACAATTTAAAAATCCACCGGAATATACCTGGGCAAAAATAAAGTCTCTAATCTGCGGAAATTATATATAAAAATTGTTATAATTGGATTATACCGTACCAAACTGCAAATCTATAACTGATTATACCAATACCCAAATAATCGATCAATTCGCGTCATATATAAATGAAATTACGTGAACGTATTTTCTTGAATCGTTATACGTTGCATATATCCAATAATAAAGAAGTTTCCAACACCTTTGAACACTTTTCCAAATTTTTGCAAGTATATATCCCATTTATTTTCTTGTTAACATATGGAGCAAATCGAACCTTAACTACATTTCTTTGTAATAATTACACTTCGACGCCTCCTATCAAGATTTTATTATCTTTTTTACAGCATGCAATAAGGTACCGAAATCGGCTACGAATCAAAGATATAAATTTAGTTTGAATTGAAAATAAGAGAATTTACGCTGAATATCGATCGTGTTAAATTTTGCTATATTATGCAGGCGTCATTTCAAAACATGCATTAGTCTCAAAAACACTATTTTGCAGGCTGAGAAAAACTTCTGAGGCTGAGAAAACTTTATTCAAAAGTACATTCTTTAAAAGAGACGAATTGACATTTTTGAAAAAAGTGTTGGAATATTTTAATAAGTAAATTCAATACACCTACTCCTATACTTAAGCTAACGATATCTGATTTCTATTAGCAGTAAGTAGCGATATCAAGAACTCAAAAATTCCCTTCGGAGAGTTCTTTGAATGGCTTTGATTCAACAGGCGTAAATAGTATAATTTACAACACTAGCAAAGTGCGAAAGCCCACACGAAATATTTAGGGTTAAGTTTAGATTCCTTTGAAACTGGGCGATGAAATTACTTATAATTTTGCAGAAAATTGATCAACAAAAGAATGTCACTTTCTCTTTGAAGTTATAGAACTATAAACTTGTAATAGTAAGATTTGCCACGGAATCTTTATCTCTTAGTTACCGATGAGTAAAATTCAACTACTTGACAAAAGAAAGAACATGGGATGAGGGCATGAAAACATTTAAATATAATACAATATGAAACAACAAACATTATTTAATTCCATATATGTATGTATACCGATGAAATTTGACACGGACTTACAACACTACATTCTCACGCATTTTAATACAAATCTTGTTATAAGCCTCGGCTAGGATGGCCCTCAGTGCTTTTAGCGAATGGTTTTTCGGTTTCAGCTAATTTTTGTAGCGCCATTTATTAATTGCTAGACAGCTTCGATGTATCCATAAGCCCAAATCTAATCACCAGCAATGATGCGTTTGATAAATGTCGAACCATCAGCTTCGTTATTAAGCATCTCTTTTGCGACCTAAACTTGACGTCATTTTTGCAAAGCTTCAGGTCTTTTGGTATGAGCCTAGCAATGACACGCTTCATTCCCAACACGTTAACCAAAATGTGTTAAGATAATTAATAAGAGATGTTGTTTCTTTAACTTTTTCCATGTTATCGTCATTAATAAAGGTGGATAACCGCCTCGCATGGGGCAAGTTTTCGATTATTTCACTACCTTCACTAAATGCTTTGTGCCACACAAATAAATATGTCCTTGTCTTCGTGATAAAGTATGTTGGACTCTCCAAAGAGGTTCCGTAGCCGTGAATATATTCTATCAAAAAA